CCTAACCGAGTACCATTTCACGCTGCAACTGCCTTGAAGGAAAACAATCACAGGAGATCTTTTTGCACACAATTTTCTTTGTCTTGTCTCATTTTGGCTAGTGCTTGAAAATATTAGATTTTAGGTGCACAGTTTTTCCTCTTTTTTAAAAAACACAAACAAAATAAAAAACTTATTTTCACCTGAATCACAGTTCGCAGAATCCTTCAGCCAGGTCATTCTCACAGCCTAGGATGAGCCCTAAAATCTAACTGTACTATACTCTGAGTACTTTATCAATTTAGGTGGACTTTACAAATCTAATAACTTTCAACATAGTGTGAAAACAAAGGTTCATAGCATGGTTTTAAATGGCGTGTTATTATTGTCAATAAGGGGCCCTCGGTGGCGCAGTGGGTTAAACTGAGTTGCTGAATTTGTTTACCGAAAGGTTGCAGTTTTGAATCTGGGGAGCAGGGTGAGCTCCTGCTGTTAGCCCCAGTTTCTGCCAACCTAACAGTTCGAAAACATGCAAATGTGAGTAGATCAATAGGTACCACTCCGGTGGGAAGGTAACGATGCTTGATGCAGTCATGCTGGCCACATGACCTTGGAGGTGTCTATGGACAACGCTGGCTCTTCGGCTTAGAAATGGAGATGAGCACCAGCCCCCAGAGTCGGACTCAACTGGACTTAATGCCAGGGAAAACCTTTACCATACCTAATTGTCATCCAAGCACATGCATTAAACTTCTGAAATGGCTTACATTCAACTGAAGTGGTGATATTTTTAGTTCCTCTTTTGGTTCTTTGTAATAAGTACCTACTGCCCTTTTTGGAGAGGAACATTTAATATAAAAATGTCAGAAAGTTCTGTCATTATGAATCAGTACTGCTGCCCCCTAACACACGCTCACCACTCCTTCCCATTTCCCCAGTTTCCTGGCAATACATTTTACAATGCTAGTGATTACATGTCTTGTTCTAGTTTAAATATTTAGGGGTTCATGCAGGCCCGTAGCCAGGATTTCGTTTTGGGGGGTGGGGCGAATTTTTTTCGGGGGGGGGGTGGGGGGGGGGGGGGGGGGCTGAGTCTGAGTGAAAGAGGGTCTACCCTAGCAAACCTCTTGTATTGTTACCCCAATACCCCCATGCATATGGGATATATTGAGTATGGTGATCAGATCATGATATGAATAAACAACAGTTTAAATAATGCACCAGTAAGGCCTTTTCGCGAACCACCATGAGAATTTCGGGGGGGGGGGGTGAAGCCCCTCAAGCCCCCCCCCCCCCGGCTACATGCCTGGGTTCATGTTTCCTTGTGTTGTTAAAAAGATAAAGGTTATCCCTTTGACAGTAAGTCTAGTAATGTCCAACTCTGGGGGGTGGTGCTCATCTCCATTTCTAAGCCAAACAGTTGGCATTGTCTGTAAATGTCTCCTAGGTCATGTGGCTGGCATGGCGGTACCTATTGATCTACTCACATTTGCATGTTTTCGAACTGCTAGGTTTGCAGGAGCTGGGGCTAAAAGCAGGAGCTCACCCCCATCCCATGGATTCGAACCACCAGCCTTCTGGTCAGCAAGTTCAGCAGCTCAACGGTTTAACCTGCTGTGCCATCGCAGCCCCACTTGTGTTGTTATATTGCTAACATCCTGCTCTGTATATAGGCAACATTGCGGGAAACAAATAGGATTTAATGATGAGTTAGAGCCATGGCTGTATTTGTGTGTGTGTGTGCCTTCAAGTTGCTTATCAGCTTGTTGGCAACTCCGTGGATTTCATTTTGCTTTTTTTAAGGCAAAGAATACTCAGAGGTGGTTTTGCCAATTCCTTCCTCTGAATTAGGACCTACATCACTTGGTTGACAGTCTCCTACCAATGTATTAAGCTGGACCTGCTTAGCTTCCAAGATCAAATGGGTTCTACTGCATTATAGTGCAGAATAATGCAAAAACCTTTCACTTTCAGTCCCTGGTTGCATATTGCATTAGCATTTGCATGAAATTCCAAAAGACCTGGGATATGCTTTTAGGTATATAAAACAAGGAGGGTTAAGCACAATGGATGTTATGCTTTAAAGTGCATTTGCATAGCTACATTACTATGGTAAAAGGCATATTAGACTTGGCATATGCGAACATCTTCCCAAATAATCTCTACTTTGGGGATTGGAGAAATGTCGTCATGGAGACATTGTGGACTTTCTCTTAATGCATAAACACTCAGACAGCATTAGCCTGGGATGAGCACAAGCCATTTATCTTTTGGTGTTGGTTCTCTTGATGTTCCCAGATTCATCTTCCATGACAAGGGAGACTGAGAGGAAAATTAGTCTCTCCATTGATAGCTGGCATTGATCCAAATATGTATGCACATGTAGATGGAGTTGAAGATGATGGATCATGCATAACTTGTATTCATGGTCCTTACATTGTCATGATTGTGGCGCTATCGCCATGATCATAACTCTCTGTGACCCAGAGTATGTATATATGTGTATATACCATTGATAATAAGCCACTCTAAGGTATCACATCTTATTCAACCCATCTCAGAGGTTTTGCTTGGGGAACATGAACATTAACGAAGCATGTCTGAAAGACACTTCATGAGGAGATGTCTTCAGTGCTATATATAGTAACTCTGAACATCATGAGAGTCATGTTTGGAGTTGTTTAGCCTATGCACCTATCTTTTTAGAAGTGCATATCTGAGTATCTCAAATTGGTAGAAGCTTTCATCTCAAATGCAATTTCATCTTGAATGTGATTTTCCTGCTTCTTGGTTGGGAGTTGGACTGGATGGTCCATGAGGTCTCTTCCAACTTTATGATTCTATGAAAGATTTACTTAAATTTACTTATTGACCATAGTGGGATTTATTTGCCTATCTTTTCTGTGCTCTGCAAACATATAATAGGTAGCTAGTAGCCCGAAGCGAGATATTTTGTTCCTAGTTTGCTAGGCTCTTAGTCCCCTTCCACACAGTTGTATAAAATCTAGATTATCTGATTTGAACTGGATTATATGGCAGTGCGGACTCATATAATCCAATTCAAAGCAGGTAATGTGGATTATCTGTTTTGCAGGGCCGTAGCCAGAAAAAAATTTCGGCGAGGGTTGAAAATTTCGGGGGGGGGGGATGTTGAAAATTGGGGGGGGGGTAGGGTCACGCCCCTGTCAACCACCTCCACCAAGTCTGGCATTCAACACCCCCCCCCAAGCTTTGCTACATCAGCTATTGCTGCAAGTAATGACAGTGTGAATAAATTGTCAGTATTTGCTTGAGATAGTGCTTGCAGTTCTGGAGGGACTCTTAATTTTTTGCGTCTCATAGACTTAGCATGGGGATTTGGTTAACCAGTTAAAATTCATGAGTAAACCAGGTTTTTTTTTAACCTGAAAAATTTCGGGGGGGGGTTGAACCCCTAACCCCCCCCCCCCCCCCCCCCCCCGGCTACAGGCCTGCTGTTTTGATAATATGGATTATATGGCAGTGTAGAAGGGGCCCCACAGTATTCAGAATGAAACCTGTATCTTCCAGGGATGTCAAACCTTTTCCATTGCCTTCCTTGAGGAACACAACAAGTATTTCATGAGAGATAGTAAAGTTTTCTGCGGTCTTGCACACAACAACCTAAGGACTTCTCATCCACTTGGGATGTCCTTGATGTTGGTGTACCTGTAGAACATCAGTGGAAAAACATCCCAGAAGGATGTTACTTTAGCCTACTTTGTAGTACATAGGAAAGCTTCACAAATCATGGTATTAAGGCAAAGAGTATGTAGCAGCAACTTCCCCTGGAGTTGAGGCCCCTTCTACATTGCCATATAAACCAGATTATCAAAGCAGATAATCTGGATTTTATATAGCAGTGTCGAAGGGGCCTGCAACGACACTGTGGAAAATGCATGGCTTTTAAAAAGAATCAGTCACGAGATGCTCTCAGTACTATGGGAGGGGATAGTGCTGTTTAGTCCCTTTCTTCTGTAAGTGTTATTTGTTCATAAAACATACAATCTCTATTTACTTTTGGTCTCCTCCTTGAGGAAATGATGGTCTTTTCCTACAATGGTGGCAAAGCTTTGAGCCAATGAATGGCAGGAAGGGAAAAGGTTATTACAGTCAAGGCTTACTATTGTTTGGTTTAAACTACCCAATTCCTTTTGAGGAAAAAGCACTTTTTTCCATGCCTACCACATATAACTTCTAGTTTGAATTTAATCAAGTGGCAGCTGCAGACTTCAGGCTCAATATAGCAGTGAATCTGTTCTAGGATTTAGTCCATGATTTACAGAGCTATCCAAGCATTGACCCTTATCTTGAAAACAGATTGCAAGATAGCTCCTGGCAAAATTTTGACTGAAACTTGGCAACTCCAGTGATGTGGGAGCCAACTGCCCTCCTGCAAATTCTATTGCCATGCTTACCTTGAGACTAATTTCTTTTCAACAGGCTTAAAAAATTCTTACTATTATCACTATTCCTATTTTGGATCTACTGAAGATATCTGCTCATGGAAGCAGAAGGAGAGACACCATTATGGGTGATTTTTCCTTTTTTGCAGAGCCAGGTATCCTGTAAGTAACCTCTAGAACGGACTTAGGCAAACTTCAGCCCTCCAGGTGTTTTGGACTTCAACTCCCACAATTCCTAACAGCCTACAGGCTGTTAGGAATTGTGGGAGTTGAAGTCCAAAACACCTGGAGGGCCAAAATTTGCCCATGCCTGCTCTAGAAGAGTGTGGGAGGTGGTAAAGCTAGACCTACCAAAGAAAGAGGGGGAAGTTGCTTCCATTCCCTTTCATTGGTGAAGACTCTTTCACAAACTGAAGAGCTTCTTATGCTCATGTTATTGAATACAGGCCAACATCTGAAAATCTAGAGAAGCAGCAGTGGAATAAACTGTTTTATCTCAGCACAGTCAGACATCAGAGAAGGCTTTCTTGTTTCAAGATGTGCGTCTAGGAAGTTAAAGGTCACATTCAGAAATAACTGTCTCTTGTTTTGCTGCAGATCCATGTTTATATATTCCTCGCTTTGCGCACATGCTGGAGTTCGGCACTAAGAATCATGAGGTTTCCATGACGGCTCTGAGGCTCCTGCAGCAGATGAAGAGAGACTGGATGCACACGGGGCGGCGGCCCTCTGGCCTTTGCGGCGCAGGTACGGAGAAGCTTCTAAAGGGCACTATTTCTTCAGAATGATGCTTTCTAGTCTGTTGCACTGAAATTTGTATTAATTAAATCAGTCAACTGACTTGAGATTTCTTCATGTGCGTGACAGGCCCGTGAATGATCTGAAGTAGCTTTTCATGCTGACCCTACTTTCAGTGAATTTTGTTGGTTTATTCACATTCTGGTATAGAAGAGAGAGAGAAAGATCTTCCTGCTGCATCTCCTCTTGTTATTTAACATTTTATAAGCCTATTGCAAATTCAGTTTAACCCTAGATGCCTCAAGTTATGGAACAGTTTGAGAGAGGGGGATATACTTGCTCCTCAGCTGGAATCAGTTTGGCTTCACATTCAAGCTGTATGATTTCTGGAATACTTCTTATCAAAGAAAAATTGATTGATCTAGAACAGTGGTTCTCAACCTGTGGGTCCCCAGAAATTCCAGCCAGTTTACCAGCTATTAGGATTTCTGGGAGTTGAAGGCCAAAACATCTGGGGACCCACAGGTTGAGGAACACTGATCTAGAATCATAAAGTATCAACATCAGAATGAAAGTATAAATGTTATCCTTTAAGTAAATCATTATTCAAACCTTCTTCGGTGTAAATGTGTTTATGTATCCTACTAATAAAAAGAGAGTAAAATAATAAATGTAATAAAATAATAATAGAGTAAAATAATGGAATGTAATAACAAGAGTAATAACAGAGTAAAATAATGAATGTAATAATAACAACAATAATAATAACAACAGAGTAAATAAACATAATAATAACAATAATAGAGCAAAATAATAAATGTAATAACAGTAATAGAGTAAAATAATATGTTATAACAATAATAAATAGAGTAAAACAATAAATGTAATAATAATAATAATAGTAATAGAGTAAAGTAATGGAAGTGTAGTAATAAAAGTAAAAATAGAGTAAAAGAATAAATGTAATAATAACAATAATAGTGTAAAAGAATAAATGTAATAACAATAATAACAGGATAAAAGAATAAATGTAATAATAATAGAGTAAAGTAATAAATGTAATAAAATAATATTAAATAGAATAAAATAATACATGTACAGTGTTCCCTCACTTATTGCAGGTGTTACGTTCCAGGACCACCCGCAAAAAGTGAAAATCTGTGAAGTAGGGACATTATATATATATATATATATATATATATATATATATATATATATATGTATGTATGTATATATGTGTGTGTGTATATATATATATGTATATGTGTGTATATATATATATATATATATATATATATATGTATATGTATATATGTATATATGTATATATGTATATATATATATATAAATTCTGAGGGTGAGGCAGAAGTGAGAAGAGATTTAAAGGCACTGCACACTTTTTTTGCTAGCTATAAGGAAGGGGCTATAAGGCTGTGATTTACATACTGCTTTGTATCTCCTCTCTCTCTCTCTTTTTATGACTGGCTGCCTCTCTCCCGAGAGGGAGGGTAAAACCCCCTTCCACACTCCATTGTTGCCAGGAGGCAGAACCCCGCAAAACAGCAAATCCGCAACAAGCGAACCACGAAGTAGTGAGGGAACACTGTAATTAAAATCATTATAATAATAACAGAGTAAAATGATAAATAACTTTGACTCGAGTATAAGCTGAAGGGGGCTTTTTCAGCCTAAAAAAGGGCTGAAAACCCAGCTTATACTTGGATATATATGGTATTTTAAAAGTAATTATCTTTATTAGTAATCTTCATCTGTTAGTCTTACTCATTCTCTTACCCGAGATAAACAAAATCCTATCCCTTTGCCTTTTAACTATATACTTCTGTTAAATTAATCAGATTGCTTCCTTCAGTTCCCAATTAAACATCAATCTATCAATCCATCTGTCACAACATCAGCTGTGTTGCCAAACCATTAACAATGAAAATGATGTTCTTTCCTTTGTTTTTGTTATCAGTCATTATCAATCAGTCACTAGGGCCACGTACCACTCTCCTAAAAGACTATAAGTGGGTCAGGTCCCCAAAATACAATACTGTGCTTTTGTATTTGTGAGAGCCCTGTTGAAACTAGTTTAATTTTACTGCATACAAATCAAGTTTTTCTAATGAAGTTCTGATTTAATCACTCAGTATTCAACCCCAAAGCTAAACATCAATATTTTAAAATTAATAGAGAAAAATTAGAATTTTAGATGGTGCTTGCATGACTCACCATATTCCCTTGCTTTCTCTCTCGTTGAACTGCCTTTTGATGTGGTCCTTTCTCTGTTTATGCTTCAGCTCTTCTAGTTGCGGCAAGAATGCACGATTTTCGGCGCACTGTGAAAGAAGTCATCAGGGTGGTTAAAGTTGGTGAATCTACCTTAAGGAAAAGGTAGGTCTGAGCCTGAGAGTTAGCATATTTCTTTTCACATTTGACATGGGATATGTAGTAATCTTGGACACTTGCTTGTGCCAACAGGAGGGCTGTTTTCCCTTTCTAGAAGATTGCCTTCATAGGGATGGTTTGAGCACTTTGTGAAAGCAAGAGCTCCACACAGAGCTTTAATTTATTTGAGGGTGTGAATAGCATTGAACAAGAGGGTTAGGTTGGTAGTATGAGAGTCTGTATGTATTTACTTACTTAAGCAATCCCTTGATGTCTGAATATGATGGCCTTCCAAGTGTAGTGTCTTGACGGTTGATATATAGGTGACTGTGGAGCCGTATTCTTGATTGTGGCGCTATGTAAATATAGGAGATCCAGTATGGTGTAGTAGTGTTCGATTCAAATCCCCAATTGACCATGGAAAACTTTCTGAGTGACCTTGGGCAGGTCATATTGCCTCAAAGGAAGGCAATGGCAAACCTCTGAACAATTTTTGCAAAAACAAACAAACAAAAAACCAACAACAAAAAAACCAAGAAAAAAACAGTGATAAGTTCATCATAGGATCAGCATATATCAGAAATTATTTGAATCTTACATATAGTCTGGAAGGTAATTCTTCAACAAACTATCTTTGAGATCATTTACTGAATTGCACTGTAAGTTACCTGAAAAGGGAGAGGTGTTTTCTCTTTCATTCGTCTGAGATTTGGTCCATTGGTTACAATGGGAAACTTTAAAGGCTCAATCCTCAGCCATTTTAAGGCCTATCTGCATGAAACCTATTTAAGTTGTAGACCACATTTACAACTGCAGGCCTGCCAAGTTACAAAGTAATTCACCAATCTACTGATTTTTAAGAATTATTTTAAGTTTTAAACATAACATTTTTTAGAATACAACAAACTCCAAGAGAGGGTTCTGGGAATTGTAGACACCAGTTGTGTCCATTCTCAGCCAATCAGACCATGGACACCACCAGGCTTTTTATTGGCTGAGAGAGACACAGAGAGAAAATCTTCAGCTTGCATCATGCTCCGAGAGGAACTTTTAATGGTCACCCTCTGCTAATGTCATTGGGAAAGTGAGTTCTAAGGGCCCTCTCTGGAGAAGGAGGTAAATTTCCAAGAAAAAATGGAGGAAGGTTCTTGTGCTGGGGAGAGAAAAAGAAGCCGCGGATCCCCCTGCCTTAGGTATTTTGTGGACTTAACTCTTTCCAAAAATATTGTAAGTCTGAATTCATTTCACTGTTTTTTTTGTCTCTCTCTTCCCCTCTCTGTTTTCGGAAATGACACGAAAATGGCCCTCCAAAAACTACAAATCTTTTCATTAACAGTGATTCGGGCCCAACTCTAGTTTTGCCTCTTGTCACATAACTGTTTTCAAAGAGGAATAGCCTGCAGGTACAACAATAAACCCCATATATAGTTATTATTTAATATGAATAAATACTTTTCTTTTTTTTTACAAATTTTCTGCCGCCACCCCTCCCCCCCCCCTCAGGTAGTACATGTAGCCCTCAGAAGGTCCCGAGGCATACAAGTGGACCTATCACGTTTGCTATCCCCAGTGTATGCAGTTGATTCCAAACTGAGCCCATTTGCTCATGTACATATATACAGAATTCCTGGACATGCAAGCTTTTTTGTTGAAACAAACAGAGCAAGTTCTAGAGGGATATATTTTTCTGTAAGTAAGAGTTTCTCTGTCTATTGAAGTGAACACGGATGTTTTCCTGTAGTACAAGGACCTCCAGATGTGCCTTGAAAACTCTGTAATTGGAAGGATTTTTGCACTAGTACACCCATTTCAAAAGCAGTCATTTGCCTTTAGATTTAAAGGTGAAGATACAGTTGCTTAACTAGCATTTCATGTAATATGCTGCCAGTAAAGACTAATAGAGCTTAGACTTCGATGCTAAGGATGTTAGAAAAAGATAAAACCCATGGGACACATCTTTTTTGAAGCTGGATGCGTGATAGTTGATTCTCAATGCTATGTATGATGATAAAAATCCCACTTTAAACCTGTGCATTTGAAATGCTTCAGAATTCGATTCCAATTAAAGACTAGCTTTATAAAATAATGCCATGTCATTGATAGGTTTGCATAATATAGATAGTGTTGGGTGGGGGGAAAATCCTGTGCAATTCTGCAGGTTTAGCAGTCAATGTGTTCTTTTTTGTTTGATGAGGAAAATGTATTTCTGTTCATAGGTTTTTGTTCTGCTAAATACATCAATCTGTTCCACTAGAAATCCCAATATTAATGCTCAAAGGGTGTTATGTTCATTTGATCCCACTGCTCAAAAAAAGAAGAAGTAGTAGTTCTCTGAATAGAGCAGTGAAAGACAACAGTTTAGTCTGTTGGCACTGCCCTTCTTGCCATGGAGAGCAGAAAAGGCTGGTGTTTACTTTATGGTAGGTCTCCCTGGACAAACTATGCTCTTGGAATAGTCTATTTGGGGAGAACCTAAAAGAAGTGCCAACCCCTTCCTTGCTGCTGCTGTGGCTCCTTGGTGCTTCTTTGCCTTATGGTTGAGAGCAGACTATGTCCCTGGTTATTTTATGGTAGGCTCCCCTTGAATGAACTCTTGACTGCCTGGCCACCTAACCTTAGTTGCTCACAGACAATGGTGAAGAGAAGGAAGAGACAAGTAGACTGGGTGCAGACAATTGAGGGCATTTGGTCAGGTGTCAAATAGGAGCCAAACAAGGCAAGCAAAATATGAAAAACCAGCCACCTTTCCAGTTTGCATTTAGGGGCACTGGTAGAACTAGTGAGCAAAGATACACTGGTGATAATAAGGAAGATTTGGCTGGAGAGGCAACTGTTTCCTCTTTTTTTAAAAAAACCTGGCTTCACCGATTCTTCTTTACTGACCATCTGACCACCTTTGCTTGTCCATAGCTGGCCTGCTTGTCTTCTCAGAGAAGGTGGAGAGAAGTGGGCCGGCTTTAGACTATTGAAGGCAGTCAATTGGGCAGTTAGTGAAGAAAAAAAGAATGAGATAAATGATGAATAAAGAAATCCTGGGGATAATGAGGAAGATTTGGGTGGAAAATCGGCTGGTTTCTCATCTTTTGCCTGCCTTCTCTGGCTCCTGTTCATCACCCACCTGTCAGTCTACCTTTGGTTGTCTGCAACAGGCATGGTTGTCTCCTCAGAAGTAGAGAGGATGATGATGAGACAAGCTGCGAACAAATATGGCTGATTGATTGGACCAGAGGCTGAAATGTGAAGGATAAGACAAGTGGACCAGTTTTGGACAGCATTGGGAGGTGGTTATACAGAGAAGAGGAGCTAGAGAATGTAGTCAAAAGACAGGAAACCAGTAAACTCTCCAGCCTCTGTGGAGGCATCCAGCTGACATGGCGAGCAAAAAAACATCACTGGTGTTGAGGAAGATTTGACTGGTGAGGAAGATTTTCCTTTCAAAAGACAGGAAACCAGTCAACTCTCCAACCTCGGTGGAGGCATCTAGCTGACATGGTGAGCAAAAAAAATCACTGGTGTTGAGGAAGATTTGACTGGAGAGGCACTGTTTTTTTTCACTTTTTCCCTGCCTTCTCTGGTCCCTTTCATTCCCACCTGATCTTGGTTGTCTACAGCCAGCTAGGTTGTCTCCTCAGAGGTGACATTGGGGCTGGCTGTGGACAACCAAGTGTAGGAAGTCAGGTGGTGAAGAGTCTGTCCCAGGAGAGCCCACCTTGAAGGATTAATTGACCCCTTTTACTTGCCCTTCTCAAACATGGGAGCAGCCAAGAGCCACCACTGCTGCCATTTTTCTGCTCATGCATTCAGAAAGGGCAGAAGTGGTGACCTGGCAGATAGACCCATGTATACTGACCCATGTATAAATTAACCTGAGTTTTTAGGGTCATTTTTGCCACAAACCTTTTGTTTCTCCATGATTATATATGGTAAGTATTTAGTTTGAGGGGTTTTTTTTACTTAGGAATGCTGGCAATCTTAATTATTAGGGTGGCCAGTTGATTAATTAATTTTGACGGATTAATTTCTTGCCTTTTAACTGATTAGTTAATTAGTTAAATTTTAAAACATTTCTGTATTGTCAAAATTTTCAATACTTTTGAGCTCATGGGAAGTGTGAAATAACTTTCCAATTAATAAACCGAAACCTGCCAACCTTAGAAGAACAGAGCATGTTTAAAATGTTGTTTTTCATTCCCCTATTAAACACTGGAAACAAAAACATAAAAGTACAAAAATATAAACTCCATGGTATATTGATGCATGACAGTAAAAGTGCTGTCAAATTGCATTAACTCTACAATGCAGATGCACCCCATATCTCTCTGTATGACTCTACTAGTCTTATGTTTCTTTTCCTCAACCCAGCCACCATCACAGGTCTTTCTGGTGAGGACTCAGGAGAGGACCTTCTTGGTGGTTGCTCCCAAATTTCCTTCCAAAGGAGGTTAAACAGGTCCTCTCTTTGCTATCCTTTTACTTAAACTGACATTTGATGATTAATTGGTTTTACAAGGATATTTTTATGAGGTGTGTGTGCTTACTGTTAGTTTTGAAATGATTTTTATATTTTTTAAAATTGATGGTGTTTTAATATTAGTTTGTTATATTGTGAAGTTTTTGTTTTCAATATCTTGTTTTAACCCTTCTTGTAAGTTGGTATGGGTCCCTCATCAGGAGAAAGGCATTCTATAATATAATATAATATAATATAATATAATATAATATAATAATTATTATTTTACATGTCAGGAGCGACTTGAGAAACTGCAAGTTGCTTCTGGTGTGAGAGAATTGACTGTCTGCAAGGACATTACCCAGGGGATGCCTGGATGTTTTGATATTTTGCCATCCTTGTAGGGGAGGCTTTTCTCATGTCCCCGCATGGGGAGCTGGAGCTGACAGAGGGAGCTCATTCACACTCTCCCTACATTTGAACCTTTGACCTGTCGGTCTTCAGTCCTGCCAACACAAGGGTTTAACCCATTGCTCCGCGGAAGCTCCTAATATAT